AAGCAGTTCTGTTTTGCAAGAGTAAGAAATACTTCTGTCTGAATTCTCATAGTCTCTGAGGACCGACAGCATAAAGATCACCCCCTAGGCCACAGAGTCGGGAAGAATATGAGATGTGCAATGGCAGATTTACCTCCCAAAAGAAGAACGTACTCCTTCATCTGGGGAGGAAAGATGCTCAGATGGGATTGGGAAAGGTTAAGAAGGTCTAAGCCCCCGAGAAAGAGCCCAGTTCATCCATCTCCTGGACTGTGAGAAGGAGGATGGGCATGGCATAGAAATCTGACTTGTGCTAACTCCTCAGGGAATAAATCACAGCAAGCAAAGGCAAGTGTCCCAGAGAGGGTGGTGTATGTCTGGGGTTACTTGTGCACAGTAGTGCACATTAAAGAACTGCACCTGAGTCTTGCAGCCCTGCACAGAGGTACCAGGTGCTGTTTTATCTGTGCTCACCCGAGTCTCAGCCTGTAAGTTTCCAACCTCTAACGCTAGCCTCAGGGCTCCCCAAGGCCTCCTGGCCTCTGGAATTTCCACACTACCAAAGCTGTCAGCTCCCTCCTTGGGCGTGGGTGTCAGAGCAAGCTCCTCCTATTACTCAATCCCCATCTCTCACTGTTAAGCAGGGCTCCCTGAGGAAGATTGATTCACCACTTTAAAGGAGCCTCGATGTGCTCAATGAGGATGCCACAAGACAAATGGCTCCTGCCGTGTGCCTTCAGCCCGCTGTCCCGTGTTTCCATTACATTTGGGCCACAGTCATGGTGGATGAGCTTGGGTGTAGTGTTCATTTTCTGCCTTACACGATAAACTTGTCAGCATTTGACTGATCAGCTACTTATATGCAGGGAGTTCATTTGCAAGGCCACCTGGCTTCCCTCTCTGCTGTCCTGCTCCCATTTCACCCTGTCTAATGAGCCAGGACCTGGTTCCTGTTGGGCAGTGCTGGGATCCTGGGCCCTGCAGAGCCTGCACGTGATGGCAAGGCCTCAGTGCTTCCTCACAATCTGCCTCTCCTGCCTGGAGGTGACGAGGGCAGTGATGCCCAGGGAGCCATTCTTTCCTTGCATTGCCCAGTTGAAAAGGAGTGTGCCAGGCCTCCACCCTCCTGCCTCGAGCCTGCATCAAGGCCTGCTCCCAGCCACCTGGCTGAGCAGGCATGCTGTGGGCTGCCTCAGGAGCTGCAGTCTGCCCACTCCGCACTGGCTTTGGGGCTATTTTTAAGGAGCCCTTGGTGAAGGCAGCTACTGAGCCAGGGCTCTCAGAGTTCACCCTGAGGTACGACTAACAGGGATGAAGTGTGCAGCATTCAAGCTGCCCATGGCCCCGGCTTGGCTGGCCTCCCAAGCTGCCAGGTATCCTAGACTCTGCTCTGACCAGACTGAGCTCTTCCATGATCCTTCAGTACTCCCTGTTGTTGCTGGCTAAAGTCACATGACTGAGCTGGGCATTCATAGTCCTTGTTGATGAACCTGAGCATTGGGGTTGGATGCCTGAGATCAAATCCAGCTCCCTCCACTTAGTGGGTGATTATTATCATCCCTGTTTACAAGAGAAACCTTATAAATGGCCTAAGGTCAAGATATTTGGTTTCTCTGCTCCTGACCTATAAAGGAAGCATGACAATGATACCTATCTCATATGCATCAACGTGCATGTTTAGATTGATACCTGGCACATAGTAGGTGCTCAACAAAGGTTAACTAATAGCATCACATCATTATGTTCTTCTAGCCCCACTTAAATCCTGCATGCCTTCACCCATAAGCTGGAGGTCAAGCCGATCACTCACAAGCTCTGCCTACAAGCCCGGGGATCTGTTCCCTGGCCATCCAAACCACTGTCCCACTCCCCACCTACCACCCTGCACTATTATACACCTCCTGGCATGCCTCTCCCTTCTTCTTTGCTGATCTGAGCCTGACCCAGACCTGACCAAAGCCTCCCCAAGGCTCTGAAGGCACTGGCTAGCCTAGAAGCCTGCAGGGACCCCTAGCCCAGCACATAGTGCAGGGCTGAGCACCATGGCCATCTGCAGGGATGCCTAAGGAGGGGAGAAGGGCAGAGCAGGGGGCCTTGCAGACAGGAAGAAGCCCTATCTTGTCCCAGCCTCACCCTACCCCCACTCCCACATCAACCCATGAAGCTCAAAGCCTCAAAGTAGTTGGTTTTTGCCCTTCATAAGGACATGGCCTTTCCCTTTCCCAGTAGCCAGCTGGGCACCTCCAGGCCCCCTCTGTGAACTGAGTCCACAAATCCCAACTCTACCTGGGCCAGGCCAAGGGAAGCACACTAAAGTCCATTACCCAGCATGGGCTGTGCTTGCCTTGTGCAGAGGGACCAGGCTCCACCCTTGATGAGTGCTGATATGGGGAAAGGGACCAGACCAGGGGTCCAGAGGCTGCAAGTGCTGACTGTCCAAAGCATGGTGGTCTGGGAATGGCAGTGGGGTCATGTGCTGTGCAGCAGGGAATGGTGGGCAGGGGTTTGGGAGCACCTCTGGGCTCTGGTGCTATATAAGGCTAGCTTGACAAGAGTGCAGGTTCCACATCTGCACTGAGCAAGCTGTGGAGGCCACATGCTCTGCGTGTCAGGAGCCCTCCAGGGCAAGGCTGGCACTGCCAGAGGATGAGAGAGCTTAGGGAGGGCTTTCATTGGCAGAGGAGGAGAAGAAGGGCCTTGTCCTGGGCACAGCCTGCATGATGAGGAGGAGATGGGATGTGCACAGGATCAGGGAGGGGCAGGAGGTTGTCTGTGAGGTCCATGCAGGGATCTGGGGAGGGAAGGAGGTGGCCTTGAGGGGCAGCAGAGGTAAGCCATGGAGCCTGCGGTGCCGTGTTTAGAAATTTGGATTCTCCCTTGTGGGCAGTAGAAGCAGTTTCAGGTTCTGAGAGGGTAATGTGGTGACTGCATCCGCTTAAGGAGTTTACAAGAAGGGGAATTTCACCAGGGCCTGGGCTGGCTCTCATTTATGCTTAGATCCTCAGGGCATGGCCAGATCCTTGATGCTGATGAGACTGAGGCAGGGAAGTCCAAGAGGCCATGCAGAGAGTGAGGAGGCATCCTGCCCATATAGGGACCAGGAGGGGTTCTGAAAGCACAGGGTTCCCAAAGCCTCATCCTCGACAGGAAGGAAGAGAGGATGTCCCAAGGCCAGGCTGGCTTCCCAGAGTGGAAGGTCTGCTGTGGGAAACATCTCATTCCCCAGAATTTGCAAAAAGTGAGACAAAGGGGATGCATGGGGCCTGGAGACTCCTTTCAGGCAAAGGCATCTGTGGACACTCCTGGTGAACTTGGAGAATTCACCTGGGCAGAGCAAAGACCAGTGCAGTTAGCTTCTGTGTACCCAGCAGGCATTGAGAAGACCTAGGGGATAGTCTTAAAGATTGACTTACCACCCTGGGAAGGGGAGCTGTCCACACGCCCGAGGAAGGCAAAACGCAGGCGAGAGCTCCCACCGTCATATCCGCGATCCAGGCAGCAAGATGGAGGAAGGTGGGAAGCAGGACAAAGAGCACATGCTAGTTATCTTTGAGGAGGTTCCCCGGAAGCTGTTGTGTAGTTTTTTGAGATCTTGCTTGCAGAATTTAGACACCTGGTTACCCCTAGCTGTAAGGGAGGCTGCGAAGTATAGCTCTAGTTGGTTACGCATGTACCAAGCTAAAAACCAGGGAGGGGTTCTACGAGCAAGGAAAGGACATGTAGTGTGCAACTAGGAGTCTCTACCATGTAATGCACCTTTGCCTGCAAATGCCATGCACCCCATCTTCCCACACACAGAGCACTCTCACCCCTACTGCCTCATCCTGTCCCAGCATCCAGCCCCAAGGTCAAGCTCTCCTGGTGATATGCAGTCCTCACCATTGGGTCTTGAAGTGACTCCTTGAAATTTTAAACCAATATGTTAAACTTTGGGTGGATTTTTTAACTTTTGGTGAACTTGAAGCCAAGAGGCAGGCTGTGCACTCCCACACCCAGTACGGAGCAGAGGAGAGAACATCGTCAGCACAATGGGCTCCTGTTTGGAAGAAACGGGAACAGGCAGCGGGAGCAGGCCTGGCCCCAACAGGTCCTGCCAGGTGGGCTTAGTGAACCTCCCTCTGCCCCGTGGAGGAAGCTGCCAGGGAGGGCAGCTTCTGGTGCTCTCTGGGAGGAACGCATGTGTCCTTGGTGAAGTCACATCCTCTGTGCCTGACTCCCGCTCCTGAAGAACCGTCCTTGTCTGTACTCTTCCAGTGCCACCGGGGAGGGGGATTCCCTTTTGAAACCTGCTTCCTGTAGGAGAATGTCTAGAGGAGCCTGGGAATTAGTAGAGGCTAACACAAAAGCCAGCTGTGGGCCAGGCTTGGAGCTCCTTTGGATCCATTAGTCCAAAACTGTTCCTATGAGCTCATCCACATGCAGGTTCGGAGCAACCTGGCCCTACTGTCTATAGCTCTGCCGCCGAACCAACAGCTTGAGGGCAGGGAGGTGAGCAATACACTTCCTTCAGGTTTTAATGTGAAATTGCCTAATTTTAAAATTGCAACAACAGTTTTGAAATTGCAGTTTAGATGTCTGAAAGTCATAGTTCAGCACAAACAAGCATGCCTACACACAGATGTGGCTCACAGGAGCCCGAGTGGAGGGTGCTGTTGGGTGGGGGATTAGGGGCCCCTCCACGGATGTGGGCTGACTTGAGGGTCTAAGCATCCCACTTCATCTTGGCATGCAGGACCAATAGCCCACACATCTGGGGGACAGCTAGTCACAGCTGGAGGGCAGGGCTCCTGCAGGGACCATGCAAATAAGTTGGGATCCTGGGATAGGACAGAGGCTCAGGACACTCTGGCTGACGTCACTGCCCACCCATAGTGGGGCAGGGTGGGGGTCAGGGCCACTCAAGACCTGGGTCTTGGTGTGATCCCAGAAGATGGGGCTGCCCTGTCCTGTCTGGGGCTCTAAGCGGGCAAGCCTGGCCTGGAGTGGGACGGGTGCTAGGGCTGTGCCTGCCTCCCCTGCAGACTCCACCAACCGGGACTCGCTGGACATGATTGAGCGCTGCATCTGCCTTGTGTGTCTGGATGCGCCAGGAGGCGTGGAGCTCAGCGACACCCAAAGGGCACTCCAGCTCCTTCACGGAGGAGGGTACAGCAAGAACGGGGCCAATCGCTGGTACGACAAGTCCTTGCAGGTAAGCCGTCCAGGTGGCCCTGCAAGAGCACAGCCATGCCCCCAGCAAGAGAGTGAGCAGGCAAGCGGGCACAGCCCGGTGCCCAGGCCCGCACGTGCTTGCATCTGGCAGGCACACTCACTGGCTTCTGTTGCCCGAGAGGCTGGGTCTGAAGGGTCAGGATTGCCGGAGGGGTCTGAGATGCGCTGTTGATGTCAATCTCTGGACCAGCCAGAACTCTTCTCAGGAACCAGTGGCTGAACCCAACTCAAACTCCGTAACCTTCCTGCTGCCTGTGCCAGGAAGGTCTGGGCCACACCTAAGGCCCATTTCCCATCACCCATCACACCTGTCAGGTGGAGGTGTGCCAGGAGTAGGAGAGTACAACAGCCCCACTGAACAAATCCTTAATGCATTCTGAAAGAATAATGTCTGATGCCCAGAGCTGTCAGCTTTTTGGATGTCCACCCCCATGGCCTGGCGATTTCAACATACCTCCCTTAATCCCTGAGAAGTAGAACAGCCCAGCATCTCCATGGAAGAAAGATCATAAGTGAGATAAAATAACTCATATATGTTCATTTATATGATGTCAGCCTAGAAGCAAGAAATTTATTTTGGCCTAGAGAAAAATACCCGTGCAGACAGGACGAAGTCAAGGTCAAATCATTCATTCCCGTTCTGCCATCTTCCTTTTATTCCCCCAACATGCCAATCCTGAACCTAGTCTTGTTTATTTTAAAGTCACTACACTTTTATATTATATGCCATATAGTATAAAACAGCATGCAAAAACAAAACGTCTCTCTACTTTGGGTTAGCAAAGCTCACATTGATAAGCATATCTAGACAACATCTCGTTTTCCTTTCTCTCTGTCCCTACATTCTGCAGGTTTTCCTTTTTATTGGTTTGCATACTGGTTCCGTTATTTCTGATATGCTCTCCGGCTGCTGGGCCAGCTATTTTAGCCTCCACAGTGGTGCTAATGGCTTATCATCTTTCACGGAGCAGCTGTCGGGGTGAACCGATATAATACATACACAGAATCTGGAACTCAGCCTTGGTAGCAGTTTTTAAAAGACACTGCTTTCCTTCCTTCTTTCCTTCCTTCCTTTTAGTGACAGGCACAGATAAGTACTAATGTGGGGGTGGGCACAGCCCTCCCCACCGTCTCTCATGGGTTAGTCTATGCTGACCTCCAGGTTCTTTTTGTCAGCAGGACAGATTATCAGGCGAGCCGGAGAAGCCAGCAGGGCTGCATGGACCCGAATTCAAGATGATGGAGAGCTGGTCTCAGGACAGCAAGGCAGGGGACACTGGGGGTGGGAGGGGAGGGTCTGCAAGGGGTGAGTTTGGGGAGAAGATCTGGAAGTGAGTTTCTTTGTAGAATGGGAGTAAAGATCCAGGGATCTGACACACAAGGCGAGAGATTGAGAGGAGACCAGGAGAGAGGCAACTCGGGACATGTGGAATGGTATGGTGCCCTGGTAGAGACTTTAGTAAAACTCCAAAGGTTGCTTGTTTTGTTCATTTAGAGATAAAGAATGAGTATCTCTTGGGTGTGGTGGGCTACTAGGCAGCCTGCTTTATTTGCATTACACTTTAAATAAAATGAAAAAAAAAAAAAGAAAGAAAGAAACGTGACAGAACATAAAACTTGAAAATAAATTTCTAAAACTTAAAAATCCTAAATTTTCTGTTAGATGTTTAAAATATTTCCTGATATAAGTTTTCTATTGTAAAATTTAATTATAAAATTATGAAAATAAATTATCTACATAGGTAAACAAGTCACAATGAGTGCATGCTGTTGGAAGAGAGAGACAACTAACTTCCTCATTATATAAAAAAAATAACGACAAGAAGTCATATTCTCTGCATTTAATCCTTCATCTTGCTGCTTCTCCCTATGGAAAGGAAGCCACAGGACTTCCAGAGGAAAGAGTATTTTGATAAAGACAGCAAAAGCTCTGGATATTTTAACTTTTATCATGGACATTTTCAAGCATATTCAAAAGCAGCATGTACATATTGCCAACCTTGGTTCATTTGTTTCCTCCAGATTATTTATTATTTATTTACTGCTGAATCACGTTAAAGCAAATAATTTCACCTACCAATACTTCAAAATAAAGCTCTCACAGATAACGATGCTTAAAAAAAAAAACAAATTTTGTCCTCATTATCTTTTCCCACTATTTTTGTGCACTAGGTATGTTCCTTTCTCAAGTCAGCTAGCTAAATAGTGTCTTTGTAAAGTCGTAAGTAATCTCTACAGCTCCTATGGATCCTTCATACAACTCCTCTCCAATCCGCTTCTCAATCCATGAGCTGGGCCTTACTGGGTCTGTTTTCAAGGACAGTAAACTGAAGTCCAGAGAGTTGACGTGTCTCGTTTAGGCTCTCATGGCTGCAAAACTTCATGTGGGTCTCTGACTTGAAGCCCAGGCGGCAACTCGTGGAGCATCTTCCGTATCTCTTTCCTTCACTTCATCTTTCCTTCACTTCTTCATCCTTTCTTCGCACCTTCTTTACTTCTTCATCCTTCCTTCACTACTGTCAAGGGATATTTCATTTCTCCCTAGGAATCTGCTTACCATCCAAAACAGGCTGTTATTTTTCATTGTCACTCATTCCACACAATTATTGACCATCAATGGTGGTCAAAACAAACAGGGTCCATCAGACAAATAGTCACATAAAGCACTGCAGGATGGTGCCTGCGATGCGAGCTATGACGGGAAACAGGGCTGAAGGGCCTCGCCCATCCCCCCAAGGGCAGCTGCGCAGATGTGGGATGAGCTCCTCAGGAATCCCTGGACTGTTCAGTCAGGGAACTTGGGGCTCCACCTTCACTGCCCAGAGCCTTTATGGGAAAGAGATCGCGAGTGCAGAGCAGTCTTGGATTCTCATATTCTCAGGCCACTGCAATCATGTGCAGTGTTTTCTTCAGGAAATAATGTACTCTGGTGTCCCTGGAGGAGAGGAGCCCTGAGAAGCCAGGGGCCTGACCTGGGGCCAAGGGGCTGCTTTGCAATGCTGACTCTCTCCCATGGTCGCCCACTACCTGTTTCTTGTTGCAGTTTGTGGTGGGCCGAGACGGCACCTGTGGTGTGGTATGCGAACACTCCCCATTCGATGGCATCGTCCTGGTGCAGTGCACCGAGCATCTGCTCAAGCACATGTGAGTCTGGAGCCCAGGGATGCCATGCTGGGCCAAAAAAAATATGGGTGGTCGCTGGGGGCTGTGTCAGTCTGGAAAGTGACTTCGCAAAAGATGAATTTGAAAAAAACTGTGTACTACACACACACAGACACACACAGACACACACACGATGAATTTGAAACCCAGCTTTGAATGAGACATCATGTGCTTCATGGGCCATGGATAGGAGGCAGCAGATTTACGGCAGTCAGGGAGAAGTGTGGCAAGGAATTCTCAGGAACCTCTGCCTTGAGAGAGGGGAAGCCTACATCGACACCTATTGCTTATCCTGAGTCAGGGCCAGGCCCACAGCTGCCCCAGCACACGGGGAGTTCTCTGAGCCTCACTGTTTCCAAATCCCAAGGCTGGGTCCCTCCTTAGCTTCCCAGCAGGGCTCCTCTATGCCTTAAACACACGGTGTTCCTTCCTCCATTCCCAGTTTTACCCATTCTCTCCTAGAATCTTCTCCCTGCATCCAAGTCTTCAATTTCTTCCACGTAACTCTAGGGTCACTGAAATCTAAACCAAGCCTAGTAGGCACAAACCTTGTAGAAGAGAACACAGCTTGCTCTTAAATTTCTCTCCAAGTCTTCTGTAAGGGTGAAACATGGTCTAATAGGAAAACAATGAAAAGAAATAATGGGTTTTGGAGTCAGGTGAAACTGGATGGAACCCCGGCCCTGTCACTTAATGATTTTGGTGGAGGCCTCAGTTTATTCATCTGCACAGTGGTTCAGGGGCAGCTCGTACCCCCTGAAACTCCGTGGCCACAAACACCGACATCTAAGATGATTGCAGAGAGCAAAGAAGCGATGCTTCCCACAGCTCTCTGGCCGCAGAGCCTCAGGAGGTTGCCTCTGTGCCCACAGGACACAGAGCAGCAGGAAGTTGATCCGAGCAGACTCTGTCAGCGAGCTCCCCGCCCCCCGGAGGCTGCGGTGGAAATGCTCCCCGGAAATTCAAGGCCACTTAGCCTCCTCGGCAGAAAACCTACAACGGTAAGGACAACCAAAGTCTCCTTCAAGGGGTCACCTAGGGACCGCCCTGCACCTGCCCACTAGCTCCCAGGGCTCCCTGGAAGTTTCCAAAGACCCCGGCTCCTCTGCCTCCCCTTGGGCTCCAACTCTTCCCCATCCCTCATGGAAATGTAGTCAAACTAAAGGAGACATAAAACTCTGGGGAAATAACCTTGCTGAAGTACCCATCATTTCCATAAAATGCAAACGCAGGTCTTTTTTTTTTTTTTTTTTTTTTCAGTTTCACCTGACTGAGCAGAGTCAAGGCCGGGAGATCATCCCCTGCTTTCGGGGGGAGTAAAAAACAACTGGTTTGAATAGGTCATTTGAATTCAAGCTATTTCAATTTGCTTGAATTTACACTGCAACTTGACAAGGGGGTCTTTTTCCCCAAGGGGAGGGGGCCATTCAGGCCCTAACGGGACCCAGGGAGGAGGGCCTGGGGCAGCAGGGAGCAGTGGTGGCAGCCGCATCCTGGCGACCATGTCTGCACTGTAGCTGTTGATTCTCTCATTCAGTAAGCAAACATCAATGCATTCATTCACTGGTTTGCTCATTCATTCATCAAACATATGCAGAGCTCTAGTGTGCACCAGGCCTGTGGTAAGGCTCTGAGAACACAGAAAGTTAAGTACCATGGGACCTGCACTCCATATTGGAGTGGAGTAAGTAGACTCCCAGGCCAAATCATGTGATACAGTAAGATTAATGCCAAAAGAAGAAACAGCCATGCTGACCTGAACCCACAAAAATATAGAAGCTGAGCTCTGTCAGGACTGTGAGGGAGGGCCTTGCAGAGATGGGCCTTGAAGGATGGATAGGAGTTCATGGTGCAAGCAGACGGGGAAGAGGCAGAAAGGCAGCTTCTTCAAGCTTGTACAGGTTCATAATAATGAAGGCTGGTTTGGAGACCAGCAAGTGAGAGAATGGCCAGAGCTGGGCCACAAAAAGGCAGTTGGGCCGCACTGTGATGAGTGTCACTGTCCTTCTGTTATGGGCCTAGAGCCTGCCCTGCCAATGGTAAGGAGCCAATGGAGAGTTCTGTGCAGGGGGTATGGGGACGCCCCCAAGGAGGCTGTGGGAAGGGCACATGTGAGCAGGACAGAGTGTGACCAGGCTGGGAAGCTGAAGAGTGGGAAGGACCTCTCCACTGGGAGCTGCCGGAGAGGGCGCCTGGCTTCGGTGGGCATGGAGGGGCCTCAGGTGTTCTATAAAGTGATGCTCACATTTCAGCTTTGCAGGGTTTTTCCGGAGCTAAGTCAGGGGCCAGGGCAGTGAGCTGGTGGGCTGCTGAGTCCTCAGCGGGTGAAGGAGTCCACTCACTTCCAGGGACCTGAGCAGACCCCACGTTCCCCAAAGCCCCCAGCTCCACCCTCCAGAGGCTGAGGAGAGCCAGGAGAGGCCCATGGATGGGGAAGCAGGAGGCTTTTCCCTGGTGGTCCTGAGGGACCCATACAAGGGGGGCCCATACAAGGGAGTGAGGCCCGAGTGGGCACAGCTTGGGGGAGAGATTTCCAGGTGGCCGTGGTGATAGTGAGCTCAGTCTGTCCCAAGAGTCTGTCAACAGGTGGGTCTAAGGGGCAAGTACTCGTGGGAACTGGGTCTCCTCCAAGTTCCCCTGTGTTCCCAGCACCCGGCCCCACTGAGAGCTGATCTGCTGTGAGCAGGAGGAATACTTCAAGGAGAGGCAGGCAGGGAGCATGGAGTCCCGACGGAAGCTGTGCATGTGGGCTCGGGTGCCCACTCAGGCTATGCGCTCTCCGGTGGGGAGGCACATAGACCTTGCCAGACACTGCTCCAGTGGGCAGTCAGTCTGGACCCCAGACTCCTGATGGAGGAGGAGATTATTCAATATGGGTGCCAGCCAGTGCTCAAGAGTCTCAGTGCAGACTTGGAAAATGTTCCTGTTACTCTGACAGTGAATTACAAAATCCCGGGCATGTCACCTGTGACACAGTGAGTCCCGGCCTCACTAACACAGCCAGGCCACCTCCCCACTCACTCTCCAGAGTCGAGTCGACACCCTGCTCAGCTGAGCTCACCTTGGGTGATGGTAGTCCTGGCATGGTGTGTGTTCTGACACTTTCATAGGTCAAGGCATGTCTCTGACACTTCAGTGCATTCCTGGAGGGCAGGGACTAAGTCCTCACCTTCCAGAATGCTAGGACACAGACCAGGCTCAAGAAGCCCAGGGAAACCCCATGGTGCATGCATAATGTTTTGCATGCAATGAAAACGTCTTTTCTTTTCCTTTCTCAGAATAGTAAAGAACCTTGACTTCATTGTCTATAAGTTTGACAACTACGGGAAAACATTCATTAAGAAGCAGAAATGCAGCCCCGATGCCTTCATCCAGGTGGCTCTCCAGCTGGCCTTCTACAGGTGAGTGAAGGAGGAGTGAGTCTGTACCCGGGAGGGCTGAGGTACACGGTGCTGTAGGATCTAGGGTCTAGAAGCATCCTGGAGGGAGGAACAGCCTTCTGTGAGTCTAGAAGACTGGAGAGTGACCGAGGCTGCCTGAAGGAGGAGCAGACTGAACTGGGTTACAAATCCAGCCTCAGAACAAGAAGGATGTGCCATCAGGGAACTGCCTGGGTGATGGCACAGGGACACAGAGCTCCAGAGGGCTGGACTGTAGAGCTGAGAAGAGCCAGGAAGGGATATGGACCATGGTTGGAGTCAAGGGGCTACCCTCCATCCCAACTTCCTCCACCTCACCCAAGCTCTATTGCTGCAACCTGTTCCTCCCCAGTCTTCCCAATCTTGCTAAGGAAATGGAACCAGCAGCCCCCCAGCTGATCAAGACAAAGATTTTGGACTCATCCTTGATTCCGTCCTTTCTCGTATCCCCACGCACTGCCATATCCATTCTCCTCCAAATGTCTCTCACCTACCCTCCACTTCTACTGCTATCGGCCCCTCCCAGGCTGCCATCGGCTCATGCTTAGCCAACAGCAGCATTTCCCTAAGGTCACTGCTTCCACCATTACCCCTGGTAATACTGTCTTCATGAAGAGTGAACTTTGAAATATGCAAATCAGACTCAATTACTTTCCACATGAAACTTCCCAGTGCCTTCACATCAGGATTAGAACAAAAGCCTGGCTTAGAAGTGTCCCCTGTGGACTGGTTTCACCTGACGCCTTCCCACACCCCCAGCTCTCTCCTGCCTCCTGACCTTTGCCCTGGCTGTACCTCTGCCACCCACGGAAGGTGTGCGTGTGGGCTTGGGGTCACCACCCTCTACACGCACCAGCCCTTTCCAGCCCAGGTTCCATCCCTTGAAGCCTTTCCCCACCCCCTTATCTAATGCAGCCCCCTCTGGCCCCCTTGCCACCCATTCTCTATCATACCACACTGAATTTTCTTTTTCTTTCAGGCAATTGTTACTCATGTGAATTATCTTGTTTGCAGATTTGCTGGCTTTGTTTTCTAGACTGTCCCCGCAACCCTGACACTCTGGGCATCTCACATGCCTCTGAGTCCCTCGCACCCACACCATACCTGGCACAGAGTAGGTGCCAGAGACTGAATCACAGACGGGAGGTTTGGCCAGGAGTGGTTCGGCCAGGTCTGGGATTTAGACCTGGTGACCCAGGTAGCTGTGTGTCAGTGAAGGGGTGAAGAGTAGGGAAATCAGGAGTGAAGGCAGGGAGAGAGGTGAATTAGCCTTACAGGAGGCGAAGAAACTAAAATTCGAAATAGATCTTCCTGGAGATGGGGCCAGCTCCTGACAGTTCCAGGGCTCCAGAAGCAGCGGCTCATCAATGCCTGCTATGAACGGTAAAGCTCTGCCCTCAAACCTGCTTTCAGTTTGCAACTTCCATGAAAGGCATAAAGTGACCCTGCAGTAAAGCTAGGGCAAGGCATTCTCACTAACAAGCAGGCAGCACTCATGTGGACACAGCAGCCCAGTGTCCCCCTGTGGGGCTGTAATTCTCAAGGAAATGAATGCAGTTGCTTTGAGTGTCTGTCCTGTCTGGACACCTTGGGGAAGGCCAATGTCATCCCATATGAGGACTGGGCTTGCCGCTGAGACTTGAAGAGGCAGAAACCTCACCAGCACTGAGATGCTGCAGGACCTACCTGGCATTTGGAATGGTGGTCAGTGCCTTCTGATACTCAGAGGGCATGGGGCCGAGATAGGCCATGAGGTCAGCATCCTGCTGGAGCCTCGACTGGGGATGCCACCAAGACCAGCTGCTCAGGACCTCTCTACTGTGAGCACTTCCAAGTTTCAAGGCCGGGAATGGACATAGCCAGAGGCTCCTGGGTTCATCGAATGGCCAAAGAGGATCTGCTTCCCATGAGCAGCGTTCTTCAGGCTCTAAGCTGTAATAATCACAATTGTTTTTATCTGTCCCTAGATTCAGCAGAAACCCAGAAACTGCCTGAATTGGGGTTGGTCAATGACTGGCCAGTGATGGCTTTTGCCTCCAGGGACCAGGACAGGAGCTCCTTGCCAGAGTCTTGGGGAAATACGTCAGAGTGTACAGGAAGGTCATTCCCTTGCTTACCAAGCAAGACAGTATCACACACCCTGCAGAACTGGACACGGCCTTCCCAAACCTCAAGGAGCCCAGCCAGTGAGGGAGAGACATGTCCTGAGAGGGCTGAGATGTGGGGCCATGACTTGCTGCGTGACACTGGGCTGTCACTGCTTCTCTCCAAGCTCTGTGTCTTTTTTCCTCCCCCACTCCCAACACCAAGGACCTTACTGAGTGGTGAGAAAGGAAGTGTGCCCACCAGGGGTGCAAGCCCAGGGACACTGGCCCAGTTCCCACGCATAAGGAAAGAGGGGTCCCCTGGCTGGTGGGGAAGTGGCCACTGCTGCTTGGGTCATAGTCATCAGGGAGGTGAGGCACAGCCATGGTGCCCATGGGTCTGTCAGAAGCCCAGCCGCCCCTGGAAGGCCTGGACAGCCGTTTACGCTCACCAGCACTAAGGCCCCTCCCCGCCTCCCTCCAGAGGTCATGCTTGAATCAGTTTAAATAAAACAGGATTCCCTCATGGGTGGGAATGATTAATTACACAATTATTCCATTCTGTGCTATTCCTCAAACACTCAGGTCTCACAGTAAACTCTAGATTTTCCACCAGGTGGGGAATTATTTTTGAAGCGCTACCCATCACTTCTTTATTTTATGTCAGTGCAGCATCCCCGGGTGTATACAAGCAAACGTGGCTCTCCATGTGGGAGACTCCCCAGCGTCGTCTTTGGGAATTCCCTCTAGAATTCTATTAATATTAAAATGAAATATTCTGACAAGTCAAGTCAGGGCTGTGAAAATAAAGCTTGCTGAGGCGGTTTTTCTTTCCGAGTTTATGATTTCCCAAGAATAAATTACCACGTGCCATTCATCCTTCATCCCATGCAGGCTCCACCGAAGACTGGTGCCCACCTACGAGAGTGCGTCCATCCGCCGATTCCAGGAGGGACGCGTGGACAACATCAGATCAGCCACTCCAGAGGCACTGGCTTTTGTGAGAGCCATGACTGACCACAAGGCTGCTGTGCTGGTAAGTCCTGCCCCATCCCATGGCCACAGGAAACCAGTGAGGCTGCTGTGGGTTGCCCTGGGCTCAGCCCTCTGACCACCAGACGCTTTGGCTCCGAGCAGCCTTTTAAACCCTGTACTGCCTCTGTGTTCTGTTGACAGGCTTCTGAGAAGCTTCTGCTCCTGAAGGATGCCATCCGTGCCCAGACTGCGTACACAGTCATGGTGAGTGATGTCGCACCACCTCACAACACTGCACTTGAGCTGTGCCTGGGGCCTGCCAGAATGGGCACCATGGCATGAGACCCTGTGTGAGGGCCCAGCCACTTGTTACTCAGGGACTTGGCAAAGCCACTTCACCACCCAGTCTCTTGTTTCTTCGTTTTAGAACCTAAGTAACATAGCATTCCTGCTTTTGACATGGATTTTACAAGAATACAATGAGTTACCACTTTTCAAACCCTTTGAAACAACCATAATGATAATAATAGCACCTAATATGTATAGCATCTTGCAGTTTATACAAGAGGAGTCAACTGTGAGGGGAAGGGGCTCAAGCCTGGCAAGCGGTGGGGGTCACATACCTTCCCCAGTCGCAGGCAAGGCAGTATCTGTTCCCACCTAGGGCTGCTTTTGCCTCTTATTCTCTGTATATTCATTTATACTACCTGTGAATAAAAAGTCTTTGCTGAAAATTAATAGGGAAATCAAACTTGCAAGGGAAATGTTTCCCTAGTTTAGAGAAATAATTTATTTTCTGGTACTGCAAAGCTATTGTTTGCAATAGCAAAATAGAGAATAAGCAGCGACTTGGACTACTCATTAATACCTTCATTGCAAGTCATTCTAATACAGTCTTTGAAGGATCATATAATCTATGAGAAGGAGCTGAACAAATTTCACTCTAGATAGTTGAAAACAGTTGCTAGATCCCTAATTCATCTAAATACTTAAGTGTTTGTTCTATTTGGGGAAAATGTAGCACCCGTTCATGTATTCAGTGGGTACTTTTTTTTTTTTTTTTTTTGGTCTTCATGCTTTATGCCAGGCAAGGTGCTGGGTGCTAGGAAACAAAATATGAAGTCCATAAGCCCTGTCCTTAGGGAGGTTACCGTGTAGTTGGGAGAAGAGGCCCTTCAACGTGAATACCAATCCCATGTGAAAAGAGCCCTCAGAAAGTAGCAGGGGACATGGAAGAGCCAACTGTTTTCTCTGCTTGGGAAAGCCAGGAAGAATTCCCAGGGGAAGTGGTGCTTCATGTGAGCCACAAAGGATGAAGAGAGGCTTGTCAGGCAGACACAGGAGGGAAAGATGGCTCAAGAAGGGTACCATGTGCGAAGGCTGAGAGCCTTAAGAGAATAAGACCCATTCGAGGAAAAGCAGAGCACAGCTTGCAAAGGACAGTGGAGCAGGGGAGATGTTGGATTTCCCTGTTACAAAGTGTGTTATGGTGACTGGGTAGAAGAAGGACTGGTTGCAATTGGGGGTGGGAATGTTTGCTGAGACGCAGAGTTGCTGGTTAAGAACCTTTCTAATATGGAGGGAGAGCTGGTGTTTGGACTGGAGCAGGACAGGGGCAGGGTGAAGGGGAAGATGTAAACTCCTCCTCTTGGTGGAAGAAACTCCTCCTGCATGGTGGACTGCACACAGGGTTACTGTCACTCTCTCAGAAACCCTCCAAAAACAACAGCAAGGGATTTCTGAAAGCCATAAATACACCAGGGCAAAGGGAACTGGAAAGGAGTGGCAGGAACGTTTTAGAGCTGGAAAGCAGAACACATGGCGACTGACTCAGCAAACAGTGAGAGAAGCTTGGGAGACTGGGTAAGTTATGAAGAACAGATAATTATCTTTTATTGTTGTGGAGGTTGGACGTCCAAGATCAAGGTGCCAGAAGGTTTAGTGTCTGCCAAAGCCTGCCCTGTGCTTCCAAGATGGCGCCATGTTGCTGCATTCTCCTGAGGGGTCAAGCACTGTGTCCTCACATAGTGGAAGGTGGAAAGGCCAAGGGCTGAACACTGTGTGCAGCCTCTTGTATGAAGGTCTTAAACCCATTCATGACCTAATCACCTCCTGAAGGTCCCACCTCCTAAACATCCAAACCATAGCAGTTGATGATCTATATAAAAAGCAGTTAGACCCTCAGTTCCTCTCTACCACCCCAGGCAGCCAGGCTACTAGCCCCTCTCCCCAGTGGTGAGCTAGAAGTTCATTCTCTGGAGAGGCTGAAGCAGAAGGACTCTAGACTTGAGAACACTAGGCACAGCTGAGGGAGGGAATACTGTATGGAAATTAATTGGTTAATTAAAATCTTCTTACTTACTACTAAGCCCTCCAGCCACTCAGCTCCATACACACTGGGAACTAGCTCTGTAACCACCCCTCACCAAACAGGAGATTAGAAGATTCCTCTGTGGTAAAATTAACCAGGCCAAGAGAGAACACTCACAGAAACTGATAGTTGGGGCCCACAGTGAAAGAGCCTAGTCAGCACACGAGGTAGTGGTTTGCCAAGAGGCACAGCTGCTAGTTAAGAACCATTCTAATATTGAAGAAGAGCTACTGTAAGGCCAGTGAAGCCCTCAGGTTAACAAATACATTTCACACATAAATCTTCTAATCATATTTTCAGTGCTTTATCCTTAAATACAAATAGCCATGGATCCTCAGACATTGAGAAGACATAAAAGAGTGAAACCAACACCAACAAACATTTTTGCTAATTAAAAAATATCTTTTTTAAAAAACTTGAAATGGACCAGGCACAGTGGTTCATGCCTGTAATCCCAGCAATTTGGGAGGCCAAGGCGGGCAGATCACCTGAGGTCAGGAGTTTGAGACTAGCCAGGCCAAAATGGCAAAACCCTGTCTCTACTAAAAATACAAAAAAGGCCAGGCGCAGTGGCTCACACCTGTAATCCCAGCACTTTGGGAGGCCGAGGCAGGCGGATCACCTGAGGTCGGGAGTTCAAGTCCAGCCTGACCAACGTGGAGAAACCTGTGTCTACTAAAAATATGAAAAATTAGCCAGGCGTGGTTGCGCATGCCTGTAATCCCAGCTACTCAGGAAGGCTTAGGCAGGAGAATAGCTTGAACCTGGGAGGTGGAGGTTGCACTGAGCCAAGATTATTGCATCATTGTACTTCGGCCTGGGCAACAAGAGCAAAACTCCATCTCAAAAAAAAAAAAAACAAAAAAAAACAAAAAAAAAAAACCATCACCACCACCAACAAAATTATCCACGTGTGGTGGCACATGCCTGTAATCCCAGCTTCTAGGGAGGCTGAGGCAGGAGAAATGCTTGAATCCAGGAGTCGGAGGTTGCAGTGAGCTGAGATTGCACCACTGCACTCCAGTCTGGGCGACAGAGAAAGACCCCTTCTCAAAAAACAAACAAACAAAGAAAAACTTGAAATGAAAAAAGTACAAGAAACAACTGAACAGTTTAAAAGTGATCATTGAGATTCTTTGAAAAATAAAAGGAGTTACTTCATCTATATGTGATACGAAACTAAAAGCATTTTTCAGGAAATAAAAATAACTCTGGGGGAAAATATGGTAGAAAAAAATTCAGTGGAAGAATTAGAAGATAATCTGAGACAATATCCCCAAAATATCAACACAACAAAGAGGTGAAATATAAGAGAGAAAAGAGGCTTAGTCCAGGAGAACAATATTCCAAATAATTGTTGTTCAGAAAGAGAAAATGATGGAGGGGGTCCTCAACAAAATAATTTAAGAAATTTCCCCAGAACTGAAGAACATGAGTGTCCATATTTAGAGAGTTCATCAAGTACCTTGCTTAACAGATGGAAAATACTCATAGCAAAGGAAATTTCACAACACTAAAGATGAAGAGAAGATTATAAAATCTATCAGAGGACAAAAAAATCAAATACAAAGATCCATAAAAAAGATGTAATTAATTTCTGAACAGCATCGTTGGAATGTGGAAGATAAAAGAGCAGTGTCTTCAAATTCTGAGAGAAAGTGACCTTCAACACACATTTCATACCCAGCTAAACTATCATTAAATTTGAAGATAGATCAAAGACATTTTTAGACAGAGAAAGTCTCAAACATTTTACTTATTAAGCACCATTTCTCATAAAGCTACTGGAGAATGTAGACTTCTAAAGTGAGAAAATAAAACATAAAAGAGGAAATCATAGGCTCAAAAAAATCAGAAGATTTAACACAAGAAAAAGATAGAGGGTTGTCCCCAGGATGATAGTAAAAGGAGATCACAAATCAACAGTTGTTGAGTAGACCTAGAGAGCAATCAGTCCATAAAGAAGCAAGAAGTGAGAAAATGAATGAAATTCTTGCTGCATGTTTAGGAATCAATTAGAAACAGATACATGGGGCCTGGTGTGGTGGCTCATGCCTGTAATCCTAACACCTTGGGAGGTCGAGGCAGGTGGATCACCTGAGGTCAGGAGTTCAAGACCAGCCTGGCCAACATGGCGAAACCCCATCTCTACTAAAAATACAAAAAATAGCTGGGTGTGGTGGCACATACCTGTAATCCCAGCTACTCAGGAGGCTGAGGCAGAAGAATCACTTGAACCCAGGGGTTGGAAGTTGCAGTGAGCCAAGATCACGCTACTTCACTCCAGCCTGGGCGAAAGAGCAAAACTCCATCTCAAAAATAAATAAATAAATAAATAAATAAATAAATAAATAAATAAAAGAAATAGATACATGGAAAGCAAAGGAAGTAAAAAAACAATTTATACATTGTCAATTCTAGGGGAAACATTCAGTAAGAAAGGAAATCTAATCATAGTACACTACATGACCCAGCTGTGAATACTTGCTTAATTATACTTATGTATATTGTTCTGTATACATAATTATGCTGTATCTTGATCTAACTACAAAGAGTTAAAACGTAATCTTATTGGGAAGATGAGAGAGTAGAAGTGTGCTGGGGGAGCAGGGTCATAAAAGAACTGAAATTGGCCAGGTGCAGTGGCTTATGCTTGTAATCCCAGCACTTTCGGAGGCCGAGGCAGGTGGATCACGAGGTCAGGAGATCGAAACCATCCTGGCTAACACAGTGAAACCCCGTCTCTACTAAAAATACAAAAAAATTAGCCAAGTGTGGTGCTGGGCACCTGTAGTCCCAGCTACTCCAGAGGCTGAGGCAGGAGAATGGCATGAACCTGGGAGGCGGAGGTTGCAGTGAGCTGAGATCACACCACTGCACTCCAGCCTAGACCACAGAGCGAGAGACTCCATTAAAAAAAAATAGCTGAAATTTCACTGTTTATAACAAGAAGATTATAGGTAAAACTGAGAAATTCAGTAGTGGTAACCTAAGCATATATTTGGAGGAAAGAAAGTATATGCCCAAAAGAAATAGCTAAAAGACTATAAGGAATTACCTCCTTGGGGTAGGAATCCGTGCTGGCAAAATGACCTTGGCTTTTGGCTTATTTGGATTTCTAAACGATATAAATATATGACAATAACAACTTTACATTTATTAAAATGTCTAGGAAAACACCCTCCAAAGCATTGCCATAGGGTTGTGTTAAAAATTTGAAGTTGATGAAAACAACCAAATCAAAGAGATGGGTTTGGGGAAAGGAGAGATACAAAGACGCTTACGAGGTGAATCTGGTGTGTGGTTGGACACGGAGGGTAAGGAAAGGGGAAAAGAAGCAAGGAAACCTAATAACTGGTAAGCATATTTGCCAGTGGTCATGGAGAAAGGAAATTCCAATGGCAAGGTGGTCCAGAGCCCCCATCACTTACTCTCCCACTGTTCTGTAGTTTTCCTTCCTTACACTTGAGTTTATGATCATGTTTTTTTGCATGGTTGATGAAATCTGCCCCCCACTACGCCATAAGTTCCACAAGGACTAAGTCTACAACTGTCTCGTTCTCTGTTGTGGCTCCAGGACCTGCGGCACTAGGCACATAGTAGGCACTCAATTAAGATTCCCTAAATGAATGAATGAAATACTGAATTATAAGTCATTTCACTCATTATTACTCATGGCTCTGAGCCAAACAACCTGTGACCTCAGTCTCTCTTGCTACAGTTATTCCAAGGTGGTGAAAAGAGGGGTGAGTTGACTGTTCACAGGGCAGCTGCTTCTATGAACCAACACAAATCAGGAATTAAATAGAGGAAACCAGAGAAATTAAAAGAGTAGTCTCCTTCACAGATAGGCCCACCGTTCTTTCCTTCTGTCCTAACAGGGCACATCTAAAGTAAGCTGTGGTTGTGTAATGTTTGTCTTTTCAGCCTCTAATTAGGTGCGTTCATAGAGAACAGAGCCTGTCATCTTTATGCATTCATTCGCAGCCGAAAAAGAACAGCTGTCAAATCCCTAAACGTGCCTTGTAAACCTATACCAAGTTCATTGTGAATGGGAAGTTTCTTCCTGTGCAGGGCTTTGACAGCTAAGTGGCCATCCTAGAGGACTGTGAAACCCCAAGAGTTACCCTGATGTTGACCCAAAAGTGATTGTTACGGGTGAGGGTGGCCCCCTGAGTCTCCATCAGCCCCTAGAATTGCTCCAAATAAACATGTAGTGCAAAAAAACCAGTGTGCATACTACATACCCAGCCTCAAGTGGGGGAGCCATAGAATGAGTACCCAGCTCCACTTCCAGACACCCCACCCTCCATGAACCCCTCCTACATTGACATCCTGGAGCTTTCTCTATATTTCTATCCTTTGATGAAAGTTTAAATATATTGTGATAATAAGAAAAAGAACTTTTATCATTCAACTGCCTCTTTCCCCTTGAAAATGTCAGCTGAGCCTGCTAAGGGGTTTAGTTCCTGTCTCAAAACGATTTCTTAGATTATGGATCCAGTTTAAATGAATTGATCCTGAGCCATGAAATAGCAGCCAAGATTCAGGAACAGATCTCACAACCTCTATCCTCCATCTCTTGTTCCCTGGGCTCCTACTGGAGGAGACAGCGCTGATTGTGGTGAGAGTCTGTTCAGGACAGCCTGGGATGCCCTTCACAGTGCTTGCACAGGATCCAGCAGTCCCCAAGCCCTGCACACAGCCTTCTTCCCAAACTCTCTCCCCTGCCCAAGTAGTTGGTAGTTGAGATGTCCAGGCCAGCCCCATTCTTTCCACTTAGAGAACCAGCCAGGTGTAGGTGTGTAGGGGATGCTCAGACTCACTAACCTTTAGCTCAGATATCTCAAGCTAGAACCCAACCTGCTCTGGACTCACTCAGTGCACGTGGAAATGTGCAAGGGCCCGGGAGCAGAGGCCGCATGGTACAGCGGTCAGTCCTGAGCAGCCACTCACACACATTGTTGGCAGCAGGCACTGGGTAAGAATGAGCCGTGGCTGCTGGAGTCACCAGTAGTCCTGTGGACTACAGAGGAGGGAACAAGGAGTTGCAGGGGGCCCACTTCTCATCTCCTGTTCTTTGCCCCCAACTACCCAGGCCATAACAGGGATGGCCATTGACAACCACCTGCTGGCGCTACGGGAGCTGGCCCGAGCCGTGTGCAAGGAGATGCCCGAGATGTTCATGGATGAAACCTACCTGATGAGCAACCGGTTTGTCCTCTCCACCAGCCAGGTACAGCCCCGTGCAGCCATCGCCCAAGAGTAGTGTAGTCAGTAAGCTTTCTAAAGAACAGTGACAACAAGCCCACTAGCTGGAGTCAGGCAAATCCTGCCTCTGCTTTTTCTGAACTACGTGACTGTCAGCAAAATGATCTGAATGTTCATTAGAAGACGGTTTACTGACTAGGCTTGGTGGCTTACAACTATAATCCCAACACCTTGGGAGGCTGAGGCAGGAGGATTGCTCGAGCCCAGGAGTTTGAGACCAGCCTGGGCAAAATGGAGAGACCTCATCTCCCTATTTTAAAAAATTAGCTGGGCATGGTGGTGCGTGCCTGAAGTCCCAGCTACTAAAGAGGCTGAAATAAGAGGATTGCTTGAGCTGGGGAGGTGGAGGTTACAGTGAGCCTTGATTGCACCACTGCATTCCAGTCCAGGTGACAGAGTGAGACCCTGTCTCAAAAAACAGAAAAAAAGAAGGTTTCCCATCTCCTAAACAGGAGTAATCAGCAGACCCTACTCAGCCGAGGTGGAGACAGTACAGGAACACACCCATTCTGGTGCCCTAACCGTTACATCTTACTACCTTTCAATCTATTACCGCGGTTTCCATGGGCTCTGACACCCAGCAGGTCTGGAGTGAAGTCTTGGCTCGGCCAGATTCAATGATGTAGGGAGAAAGCCCAGTCCAGGGCCTGGCATGGACAGGGCCCTCTAAATAGGTCACAGATATTATTATAAAGGGCCACGCGACCAACAGCAGAACATTCATGGCCAGCCCAACATCTAACCAGTCGGCAGCGTGTCCTGTGTGAGGGCCACTGCCACAAAGACAGAATGCAATCCATTAGATAGAGGTCGTGGTTTAGGAGGGGAAATGCCCCACAGCCATCAATTTACTAAAATGCCACCTCATCTGCGAAAAGCTGGACGTGGGCAGTACTGGGGTTGATGAGCTGTGTTTGAGGACAGAAGCCCACTCAGTAATTGGATGTTGTCATTATGGCAGTGAGCATGCAGACGTGAATAAACGAGGACAGAACACAGCACCATAAATTTCTCAGGAAATCATCCATGGGCAAAAAGTGCTTTGGAATGGCTCTATGGCCTTCGGCTATTGCACGGCAAATTTATCTGACAATGCGGTGACTCTATTAGCAAGACTAATGGTTTGTTCTGCCCCATTAAAACAGCCAGTGTCACTTCCGAAGGCCTAAGCACACAACACCAGGAACCTGTAGGTTTAAAACAAACCAGGCCCTGCACCTGCCCGAGAATCCTTTCTACTTTTTTCCATAGGACCAGCTAATAAAATTAATCTGGGGTGTGGGGGTTTTGTTGTTTTCCAACTGGAAAGTAGCATTTATGGCTTGAATGCTTTCAGAAACATACTTTCTTGGTTTGTGATCTGGATTACAAAATCTCAGTACTCTGAATTCAAAACATACTAGGTGCATAAGTAAAACTCCAGTTGATGGCAATCTTTGAAACACCCAATGCTGGGTAATTGGGCATGGCCAGGCTGCAGGGAGAAATCAGAGCAGCCAAGCAATACTGACAGTAATTAAGGATCTGGGGAAAATCGACAGAGAGGATGGGCCAGATTTCCTCAAGTTCATAAATTCCTCCCTCCGGAAAGCATCTAACTGTGGGGTGCCACCAGGGGACCATTTAGTAAATTACCTGATTGCCTCCATGCCTTAAATGGCCCCCAGGTGAAGGGGAGACTCAGCCCAAGACCCAGCACCAGGTCACGATGGGAACTTCCAACTCCACAAGTAGAGCAGATTGCACACCAGGGAGTGGGCTTGGGGCCCCTCGTCCTCTGATATCATGCAGTTAGATGGGTCTGTTTTTATGACTCTGGCTGTGTCCATCCATGCTGAAGCAATCACTTGATTTGGTTAATTCAGTCAAACCCCCAGGTGGAAAACAGTCAGAGAAGCCAAGCCCAGTCAACGCTGGCAGGCTGCATTCCAGAACAAGCAGCTTCTGACCTGTCCTCTCCTCCAGGTGCCCACAACCATGGAGATGTTCTGCTGCTATGGTCCTGTGGTCCCAAATGGGTATGGTGCCTGCTACAACCCCCAGCCAGAGACCATCCTTTTCTGCATCTCCAGCTTTCACAGCTGCAAAGAGACTTCTTCTAGCAAGTTTGCAAAAGCTGTGGAAGAAAGTCTCATTGACATGAGAGACCTCTGCAGTCTGCCGCCACCTGCCGAGAGCAAGCCATTGGCAACAAAGGAAAAAGCCATGAGGCCCAGCCAGGAACACCAACCTTGACTCCTGCCACTAGGTTTCACCTCCCAAACTCAGCCTCTAGAGCAGCCAGACCCTGCCGATCCCCACTCCCATCCCTTACCCCAGCTTGCCACAGCTCCCTGTCCTCAGAGTCCAACCCACAGATCACACAGAGACATCACACAGAGTTGGAGTGTTAGGAGAAAAGGGTCCCCTCTTTATGTAAGGGAATCGTCATTTTCAAGGTGCCTTTGGGCCTGTGCACTGGGAAACGGGACCAGCCTGGCTCGGAGGCAGCCTGGATGCACTGGCGAGCCACAATGAGGACTCCTGTGGTCCTCGGAAGCTTAGTGTTCATGTCTCCTTCTCCAGCAGGACCTAGTGTGTCCAGGTGATGCTTCTGCCCAATGAAAGGATGAGTCACCTTATTACATGCAATGTACCTAAATGAGTTAGGAAGGAAGAGGCTAACTCCAGGTCATTACCTTTTTTCTTTTTGTGGGGAGAGGAGGCTGTGTTTTGAGATTCAGAGCATTCCAATCGTGGCATTCTCAGTGCCTCCACTGAGCCGTACAGTCCTGTGAGCACCCGCTCCTCCTAAACACACCACAGAGCCCAAGTCCATTTAAAATATAGTGACTTGGGCCCACAAACACATTTCTGCTTTCATGCCCAGGGGCAGCCTTCTGTTGAGCTCAGAAAATTGTGTCCAGCTATTCTGAAAGGAAAAAAAAATTACCTGTGACTGCCCTGGAGTTGCTGCCACTCTCTGCTTAGCAGACGGCATCAGGGCCAGTCCAAGAAAAGTAAACTGCACAGCCCCAAGCAGATGGCGCCTGGTGCCGGTGGGTTTGCAAAGGACCTGGCCCCTTCCTGGAGTCCTGCCATTTGCGTTTTTTCTGCATCTTTTCCCCTCTCCTCCCCTCCTACATGCTCCAGTAGGTGGAGAAGAGAGATGGTTACTTTGGGTTTTTCTGTAATCTGTTTTAGGACAGAGATTTTTAAGAAAACCACCCTGACATTAATTTCAGAAAATATTAGTGATTCAAGCAGGATCCTTAGGCAGCTGGGCTCCTTTGTTTGGAGCAGGCTATCCAGGGACTCTGACAAAAACCCATGTGGTAGAGCCTAGAGCAGGGCTCTCTTCTGGCCTCAGGGACTGAGGGGACAGCTGGCAGGGAGCAGGGCTGGTAGGAGGGCACAGCCTCATCCAGAGTCAAACCCAGCCCCAGCTCCAGCTCCAGCTCCACCCCCAGCTCCAGCTCCAGCATGGGCAGGATAGACAGGTCAGCCCAGGCAGAGTTGAGATGTCTGGAGAGACTGTGATCATAGAAGAGATGCAAGAGGCACTTCCCTTTGGAGCACATTTTTATGGGAAGTCTAAAGGGCAGGGGAAGGGAGTGAGAAAGCAACCAAAGAAATCTACAGCACAGAGCCTGTGTGTTCTGCTGCACGTCCCTCCAATCCTGCTGCTTCCTGCTGAGCACTCTGCTCTAGCCCAGGAATCCTGTAGGTTTCTCTTCTTTGGGCCACTGTGAAGGCTCTCCATGCTTTGACCTGGACTGTCACAGGCCAGCAGAGGTGGGGTGGGCATTTGACCTTTACTCAGCTCTTTGAAAACACAAGCAGCCTCAAGAAGTGAGTCCCTGAACCCCTGGTTTTAGATGGAGGATCTCTATTACATGTTGTGAGAGATTTGGGCACCGCCCTTTGAACATACAAACTTAAGTCATTGGCCTGTAGATTTATGCTCCTTCCCTCCCACAGCCACCTTCCTGCTCTGCTTAGGAAGTTGCAGCACAAGGGTCCTGGGGTTTTCTGGGGAAAGGCAGCCCACTTGCTTTAAGTTGGCCCAAAGCTACTTGTCTGTTCTTTCCAAATGACCACAGTGCAGATCCGAGTTCTCCTCTGGTTCCTTTCCCTCCATGGATCTCTGGGCAGACAGAGAGCTCCAGCTATGGGACCAGGCAGCCCCACCAACCTTGGCCAAATGACACGCATGCCCAGAGACTCAATTCCCTCCACTGTCAAATGAGAACAAGAATGTCCCCACTTGCAAGACTATGAGGATTGGAGAGCATGTGTGTCGAGGACCTTGCTGGGTCAACAATTCATTTGTGTTTGTCTGGAGTCTGCCAGCAGCAGTAGCCAATGTTTAAAAGACACAGGGGCCAGGAGAGAAAAGGGAGGAAAGAATTAAGTTTCTCCTAGTCTATGGCATGCCATCACGGGGTCGAGTAGGGGCAGGGAGGCTTCATGGGGCCTACCTTTGGGATGACATTACCCCAGTGGACATTGTTTGGGTGGTTTTCTTTTAAACTATTTACACTGATATGACAGACCCAAACTCATATCTGCTCCAAGCACATGGAAAGGTAATTCACTCTGCACATTCGGATATCAAACTATGCACTGTGAGGGCTATGAGAAACGCAAACAGTAAATGCCTGGCAGGAGGGAACACTTCCTCTCTCTGAGGAAGAGGCTGGAAGCTGGTCTTCCCCCTCCAATAATACACGGGTGCACTGAGTCTTTATGCAACGGCAACACTGAGCCATGGCCAAGGGCATCTCTACGGGGATCCTGGGAAAGGAGCCTGCTCCAGGTGTCTCCAAAGAGATGGAAAATGAGATAGTCATTTGGAACAGTGATGCATATGTATGTGGCCACCTTACAATACTGCTAAGTTGCTAAAATACATAAAGTTAATATTTGAGTTCTATTTTTATAAAATAGTTCTAGATTTATGGCAATATATACGTGTATAGCCTTTCAATTTTAATTTCTAGTTTTGTGCTTTGAAGAAATATATGTATGATTAAAGAACTGTATATTGTAAGCATTATATTCAAATTATTTAAAGATTGTAAGCCTAGATTCAATAAAAAGTAATGCCAAGAAAGATGATGTTGGCCATTGTTTCTACCCAGACTCGCTTTAAAATATAATGTCATAAATTCTCTCAGCTGGGTCAACAATTCATTTGCCTTTGTCTGAGGTCTGCCAGCAGCAGTAGCCAATATCTAAAAGACACAGGGGCCAGGAGAGAAAAGGGAGGAGAGAACGAAGTCTCTCCTATGGCATGCCATCACGGGGTGGGGCAAGGGGCAGGGAGGCTTCATGGGATGCTTGTGATCAGGTTGACAGAAACCTGGGTGTAGACAGAAAGTGGGTGTCTCCAGTTAAGCCTGCACAAACATGTGTGGACAATGTGCAGCAGAGAAAAGAGCACAAGGCTCAGAGGTCAGATGCCTGGACAATAAACACAGCTCTGTTTCTAACTTGCTGAGGACTTTGGGTAAGTCACTTCTCCTCTCTAGGCTTAGTTTCCGCATCTGTACAATGGGAATATTGATATCAGCATTACTCAGTTCCAGGGCTGTAGAGAGATGATATGAGATGGTCACTGTTTGAAAACTTAGGAAGTGGTGTAAAAGCCAAGCCTTCTTGTTGCATGCTCACACAGACATATGCACACAGCTTCTTTTGCCCTGCACAGCTGACATACATTCCAAGCTGCAAGATGTCCTTATAGCCATGAAAATCCACAAAATCCGAACTGAAATTCCTCCAAATGGAAGCCCAAATGCCTTCCAATTGGACCCTAAAAAAGAACCTTGAAGTGTGTGGGTTTGTGGGATTCAGGATGCTGGAAAGGCACTATTCAAAGAGATAATGGCTAAGAGTAGTCCAGCAGGAGTGGAAGGGAAAGGAAAGAACAAGATCTGAGCAATGTGGGTTTTGCTCTTACCACAGATGTCACAGGCATCCTCGAAGTAACCAGATGCAGACACTGAGAGAAGGGCAAGAGCAGGCAAGCCGACCTGCAGCATGCAAAACCACGCCACCCTCCTGCAGCCTCTGAAGCTCCCTGCAGGGTGGGTGTTGGTACAGAAGCAGGGAAGAGTCCCTCCCAGGTTCATAAGAGCAGCTAGAAGTTTCCAAATTACTCCTAAGCAGTTCTCCTTGGAGAGTAATGTGAGAAAAAGAGAGAGAGCGAGAGAGAGAGCGCTAGGTGGAGGGAGGGAGATTGAGAGAGACAGTGTGCAGTACCTTGGGTTCCCTTTATAAATTCAGCCTATCTCCCTGTCTTTGTGCTTCTGAGTTTTCATTTCAAAGAAGCCTCTTGAGTCTGCAAGGTGAACAATATGCCACATCTGGGACAAGCTGGCCACACATCCCACAAAAGGACCTTTCTAAAAGCTGTTCTTTCTTGGCTCCCAGGGACCAGCTCTCTCCTTGTTCTTCTACTGTGTGCTCCTCCCAGCTCCTTCTGGGCTTTCTCTTCCTATTTCTGCAGTGTACATCCCAATGGACCCCTTAGTCTCTGTTTCTTATATTAAGGTGCAGCAATATGGGCTGAGGTGATGCAGAAGGGCCTCTCCACCTGCAAAACCATATACAAAAAAAGGGGAACGTTTTAAAATATATAATCAAGTTCAAGAGAAAGAAAGCAAGTCCTCACATTCCAGAAAAGAGAAAGATGTCCAGAGCACAGCACTAAGCAGGAGCCCAAAGTGAAGCAGAATCGGGCCTCAGTGGCTCCAGCTGGGTTCACCGTCCCTGCAAGCAGAGAAGACATAACAGCTCATGTAAGGCAGGAGAAGCAACTAAACTCCCTGCACAAACTGGGACCTCTCAGAGGCACGCCGACCATGTGACAAGAACTAGAAAAACGTTTCTCATCAGTGCAGGAGATGAGAAAAAAAGCCTGCCATCCACAGGGCTGTAGATGGGGGAAAAGACATCCATGAGAAAGTCAAACCATAAACTCATGCCATACGTGGACGAGGAGCTTGAATTCATACCGCTTATATGTACAGCAGGCACTCCAAGCCGATAATTTTTTTTATTCTTGCCAAACATATTTATTTATTTTTATTTCAATAGCTTTTGGGGTACATGTGGTTTCAGGTTATATGGATGAACTGTATAGTGGTGCAGTCTGAGATTTTAGTGCACCTGTCAGCTGAGTAGTGTACATTGCACGCAATACATAGTTGTTTTAAAATCCCTCACCACCCTCCCACACTCCCCCTTCTAAGTCTCCATAGTCCATATCACTCTGTGTGCCTTTAAATACCCATAGCTTAGCTTC